GGAGCTTACATGGACCCACATGTTTCTGAGGTCATGGCTGGCTGTTCCCTTCACTGAGTCAGTAGTTAGCAAGCCTGTCCACTTCACTTCTTTCTTTTCTCATTATGTGACATGAGGGCCAAGTTGGGGGAAAAATTTGTGTACAAGTAAGAGAGATGCTTTAAATTTGTGAGTCAGAACTGCCTTAAAAATCACATAGACACAGAGCAGGTGTGGATGTGTTGTGACAAGAATATTGGCAGTGTCTAGGCAGTCTCATCTCTGCCTAACAAAAGAAAAATAACACCCTTGCCCATGCCTTTGTTTCTTTCGCCAAGGCTTAGAAGAATTCTAATTGGAAAGGAAAGGTTTGTGTTGGTATATCTGATAAAAATGACCTTTAGCCAATAGCAGCTCATGTTTTTCTGATGGCCTGCACACAGAGAGTATGTCTGCAGGGAAGATGACTCTCTCTGTGGGTTTTTCTTCTTCTTTTTTTTTTTTTTTGCCTATTCTGGGTGACATTTATGCCTTGAACCTTCCCATTCAGCAGGTGTCATGGAAGCTGCAGGAAAGAGAATCTTAAAGCAGTTATGAAATGATCTCCCCTTGACTATGAATCCCCTTGTATGAGTTTGTTGATTGACTAAACAAATGTCCTTTGAGGATATAGATTGTGCTAAGGACCACACAAGACATGGGGGGGGGCGGACACCAGAGCTGATAGAAGAATGAAAGATGGATACTGAGCTATGAGCCCCTGTGTGGAGCACACCACCAAGGAGTGGCACCACCAGTGCCCTTAAGATGGGACAAAGAACATAAAAAGCTGAGGCCTGAGCAGGGAGTATGGACGACAGCATGAGATCAACACTGGGCGGGATGGGGGTACCACACTGGGTGAACAGATGGTGAAGAGGAGGGTAGAGTGGGAGTTGTTGAATAGTTACTGAAGTCTTATGCCAGGGCAGGGGCATGCCTGTGTCTTAGCTCCTAAGGGTAGAACAGACTTGGTGCCATGTGGGGGAGTAGAGTGCTCAGCCAACTGGTGATGGTGAGCTCAAACAGAGTAAACACAATAGAAATGGGGATGAAAATCAGAGTTTTAGAAGTCCCAATACGTTGAACTTGGTGATTTGATAGGTTGTGTGGAGCCTGTGACATAAAGGAATCTGAGGCCTCCCAGGTGCTCTGGAGTGGAGGAAACAGCGAGGGAGGGGAGACCCAGAGATTATGTAGGGTATATTGGGCAAAAGCCACCTGGGGGACACCTAAGAGGAGTTCAGTAATGCAATGGACTTAAAACTCAATGGAGAGGTCTTGGTCCTGGTCTTGGCATGGGCTGGGGCTCTGGGTCTAGATTTAGATCTACATTCGCTGAGGCTGAGTAAAGCCATGGAGGTGAGTTGGTGACTGGGAAGAGAAGAGGGCTTTGGACAGAGCAACAAGTCCTACTAGGAGGGGCTGTTAAAGGGAGAAAAGGCAAAAACAGGGGTGGGTGCTGCTGTACGGCAGGTTAAGCTGCTGCTGGAGACATGAGCACCCCAGAGTGCTGGTGTGAGTCCCTGCAACACTGGTTCTGACCCAGCTTCCTGCTAATGCATCCTGGGAGGCAGCAGAAGATAGCTCAAGATCTTGGGTCCCTGCCATCCACAGTGAAGATCCAGACTGAATTCTGCGTTCTTGGTTTTGGCCTTGCCCAGTTTCAGCTCATGGGACCACTTGGGGAGTGAACTAATGGATGGAAGATAAGATCTCCCTGCCCTCCTTCCTCCTATCCCCACTCTCTAAAGCAGACAAAATCAAATAAACACGTAATAGGAAGATCAAGAGACTATGGTGTATTACGCAACAAAGGAATGTGTTTCTGGAAGGAGGAGTTGGTCACTTGTGCTGAACACTACTGAGAGTTTTTCTGGGGGGCGAAAATAACAACCCAAACTCTGACCTGACTTTGGCACTCATTAATTATGCAGTTCACTGCTGCTTCCAGGAAGAATTCAAGTTCCTTAGGGGACACCAGGCTTTGCATATCCTGCAGCCACCACATAGCTCTTGGCTCATGTCCTAAAATGTATCCCACCCAAGCAAAGCTCAAGTCCAGGTCATGTTGATGCACCTGCTGCCGACACTCTGGGGGCAGAGGTGTCACTGCTCTCCAGCCTCTGTTCTCTCGTGTGTCAGTTTCTGTTTAGAGACTCACCTATTTTTCACTCCTTACTGTACGGGTAGTTCTGAGAGCATCCTTTGGAGCTCCTGCTGAGAGGCATGTGGTCAATTCAATGAGAAGTAGTGTGAGGCTCTCCCCAACAGTGTGTCCCCAGTTGGATGGGGACATAGCAGATGTCCCAGAACTCTGATGAGGGAGTTCTTGGACAAAGGGCTCAGGTCTTGCTTCCAGTGGATCTGAGTTGGGAAGGACATAGTTCAAGGAGTGTTAGCAAGCATTTGGTGACTACCAGATGGGGAAAAATGACCTGAGGGAATGGGGTCCCCAAGGGAAAGGGAGCAAAGCCGACGTGAAGAATTCCACCTCCTGACAGTCGTTTAAGTCTTGGATTTAACCCAGGCTTGCAGCCAGAATGTGTCTGGACATTTTTGAGTTGTAGGTGTGAATGAGTTTCTATCCATTTTAATTTTTGCTTATAGTATGTTTTCTATGACTTGTAACAGAGCTAATCTACGAATCCCACCTAATGTATACAGGCTGATCTTGTGACGTCCAAGGTTCCCCTACCTTTCCATCTGTGATGTTCAGCTGCGATTCCGCAGTGAAACCTTTCCTGACTCCTCTGCTGGGTACAGTCACCCAAGCCCCACCCTCTCAGGGCCCAGTGTCATCTCATGCCCGCTGTGGCGTTCACATCTGCTTCTCCCACTGGCCTCAGGACAGGGGTTTTGCTCTTTTTCATATCCTTGGTGTGTCACACAATATTTGGTCAGCCAGAGTCACTTATCAAATGTTTCCTGAATGATTCTGACTGGATGAATGGACAAATGAATTACAGGCAGACATTCAATAGCAAGAGAAAAGAAGACAGTGAGTAAAGTGGGGGGAAGAAAGCTACAATGACAAACTAGGTGCATTTTCTTAAAGACTGGCTCAGTATCTTTTAAAAAATATTACTTTCATTATGAAAATAGCCTCTCAAAAAAAAAAAAAAGACATGCCCTTGCTTCCAGAAGGAATAAGGCATTTAGCTGCATAATGTCAAGTTCACTTCACAAAATCTGGTATTTGAAGCACATGAAGCTGGGTTGACTGACGTTTCTGTAATTATTTTAAATGTTCACTATCGACAGAATTTCATCCAAGCCCAAATGATCCATGGCCCTTAATGAAAAAGCTCCAATTCTCAGGCCCAGGATGGGCTGCCAGCTTCAATGCTATGCTGGGCCATCATTAGATGCCTTCGAAAGACATCCTGGGTAAGCCATTGTTACCATGGTAACGAGTGCAGACAAGAAAAGGGTGGCTGTCATATATGAGATAAGAATTCTGTTCAGGAAGCATTGACACCCACTAGAAACAACACGTGGCTTCCTCAGCTAGTAACAGTCCCCCAACATTCACGTGTGCTAAAAGCTGAGCTGTCAAAACATCCAGGAAGGAAATATACAAAAATCCATTACTCCAAGCTAGCAATGTAACAATCCCAACATTTTACAACTCTATGTGCCTATATTCCTGTATCTAGAGCCATAACTGAAACCCACTGAAACGTGACAAACAGGAGACATGGAGATCAGGTCTTGCTTAGTGTGTGATCTGAGATTGAAATGCTCATGAAGAAAACTCCAAGGGCAACAGAAACAGGAACGAGCAAATGGGAGCGTATAAAACTAGAAAGCTGAGCAGCAGAGGAAACAAACAGTAAAAAGGTAAATTGCATATCTGATATGGATGTAATCTCTAAAATATATAAGAAAATTCTGTAACCTCATAGCAAACAAAAGTTGATAGTCCAACTTGAAAAATGAGCTAAGGAGTTGACCAGACATTGCCCCCATGTAGCCAAACACACACATACACATATCAATGTCACTGATTATCAGGGCTATGCAAACCCAAACCACAGGAGATAATGCCTATACCTGTGAGGATGGCTATTTTGAAAAGTAGGAAAAGACCAAAGGGGCTGGGGAGGATTTAAAGACTCTGAAATACTTGCACACTGTTGCTGAGAAAGCAAAATGACAAAGCCACTAAGGGAGACAATAAGCAGAATCTGCAAACAGTTAAAAAACAGGACTGCTGAACCCATCCTGCAATACCACTTATAAAATATTGAAATCAAACTCTCTCAGAGACATTAGCACTCACTCCCATTTCACTGCAACAACAGCCACAACATAATAGCCAACATGTAGAAAATAAATTCCTATCAATGGACAGTATATAAAAAAGTGTGTTACACATTACTCATACACACATACAGAGGGCAAGCATGTTATTCTACCTTTACAAAGAAGGCATTTTGTTAGAACGGCACAATGTGGGTCCACCTTGAGACCTTAATGCTCCGAGGAGCAGGCTGGGCACCTGCAGGATTCTACCTGTATCAGGTATCTAAACCAGCCAAAGCTATATCATTAAAGAGTGGAATGTGGCTGCAGGGGCTGAGGGGAGAGAAAAGTGGGCATCAGAAGGTTGACCAAGATGGATGAGAGAGTTCTAGAGATGTGCTGTAGGATGCTGTGCCTAAGTCAGGACCATGCAAGTATACACTGAGACATGCAAGAGGGGGAGCTCACGTTGTGTTCTTACTGCAACAAAAAGTCATTAAAATAAAACTCCGCAATACTTTCCTAATGATCTCACTACTGGGTTCAAGTAAAGCAAGCTTATGGGTGTCACTAGCCAAGTTGGTGGTGATGGGGGCTTTTGGCTGATTCTGCAGTGATTAGTGGACAGAACGGAAAATATCCCTGAAAGATCAGAATGTGGAATCCAGGAAGCCCAGGGAAAAGTCCCAGAGAGAGAAGGGCAGAGGTCTCGGGCATGTCTCTGTCCATGGTACCTTATCTGGTTCTCCTCGTCGTCCATCAGGAAGAACCAGCGGAACTTCACCACCAGGGGGCTGCAGTTGGTGATTCTGACGTAGCGGATGACCTCAGTGTCGTTCAGGATGCAACCAAAATCCACCTCCATTTGTTCAAAGCAGAGGTTGGGGTAGTGAACTTCCCCACGCAGGCTCAGGCTGTCTACCTGTGGGTGCTCCATGTACTTAATGGCCAGCACTTCCTCTGCCACCCAGTTGTTCAGATCGTTTCTGTAGGAAGGGTCAAACTTGACCAGTAGGCTCTTTTCTCCTCCAACATCCATTTTAAAGGGCTACAAATAAGACAATGGGGATTTACTGACACTCACACTGTATGCCTTTCCAACCTTATACACAAAACTGGACAACTAAAGTCTTTCATGTATATTTAAGTATTTACAGATAAATATACAAATAGCACCATGAGATACTCATGCATACATACATTCCTAAACAGCAAGTACATAAGTATAGATATTTACACACACACACACACACACACACACACACACACACACACACACACACACAGCTGAAAATGAAACCAAGGGATATCTGGAGAAGAACTATTTAAAGGAAGAGCTTTTTAAAAATTATAACAGTTGCTTGGTTATAAGTTTTGAGAAACTGTAAAAAGGAAAGTCTACAATGAGTAAGTACTATAAGATATTCATAACTGAAAAGTTAAGACTGTCAAATGTTCTTCCTAGCCTAGTGGAAAAAGCTGGTGGATTAGAAAATATTTTATAAGTGTTTTCTGAAGCACTGGGGCAAGAGGGGCCTCTGCACAGAGAGGCCTAGGATGGAACAGATTTAGGTAATATTTTTTCTCGTGCTTGCAATTCTAACTCCTAAGCACTGTTTCTGCTGCTTTTTATCCAACTTGAAATGGCACGCCAGAGCTGTTCAGAGTTTGCTAGTTTTTCTTCATTCTTTTTCTGATTCAAATCCCCACCTGTTCCTTGATGTCTATGAAAGGTCATACTTTCCATAGAAGGAGTGGCTTGGAGTTGAATTTTTAAAATTTTAGGTATTGCCTCAGTTCTCACTGCTTGGTTTTGTACCAAGTGCCCCAGCGTGAGGAGGGACGTGCTCGGGACGTGCTCCATCAGATGTCAACCAGGTATCTAGTTGTGCCTTGATGATAAAATGGAAGAGTTTTGTCCTTTGAAGGAAATTCCTTGAGTCAGCAATCAGTGAGTAAAGGGCTCGTCAATTGGCCTGATTTCATCTCGCAGTCATGCCAGCCACCGGTCCACGGACCCTACCATTGGCACATGAGGATGGCCACAGTTCGGAATTCATTTTTGTAGACCATGACATCTTCAGCCCTTTTACTGCAGTGCTTGGTACTTAAATCATCTTTGAAAATTGACTTTATTTTAAATCACACACATCTATAGACACTTATGTGTAAAAGGTACAAAGAAAAAAATCAGAAATTCATGCAAAACCTGTGATGCTTCAGGGTAGTGCCCTATGTGTTAATTACTATTATCTCCTTTCACCCCAGAAAAAGAGATGGCTAAACAGTGCTCAGTTTCAATCTTAGACATTATTGACTCCTAGATATAAAAGAGAGGTGATCGGTGAATTGATAATGCTGGACTTGTCAGCACCTTTTTCTGTACTCCAAATAAATAACAGAAGATTTTCCTCTCTCTTTGTATTGGGAAGTCAGATATACAGAGAGGAATTTATTGATATTGGGAAGTCAGATATACAGAGAGGAGGAGAGAACAGAGAGGAAGATCTTCCCTCTGATGATTCACTCCCCAAGTGAGCGCAATGGCTGGTACTGTGCCTATCCGAAGCCAGGAGCCAGGAACTTTTTCCGGGTTTCCCATGAGGGTGCAGGGTCCCAAGACACTGGGCTGTCCTCGACTGCTTTCTCAGGCCACAAACCAGGAGACAGATGGGAAGCAGGGCTGTTGGGATTAGAACTGGTGCCCACATGGGATCCTGGTGTGTTCAAGTCAAGGACTTTCGCTGCTACACCACCACGCTGGGCCTAATATACCATTAGACTGATTCATGCCTGAGCATCTTCTCTGCTTCCTTGCTCTGAATTAACTCTCCAGCTTCTCTGTGCACACTTGTTCTCATCCTTGAGTTCTTTTCAAACACAGGCCGCATCACCTCTCAGTCCTTTGTAATTCTACAGAACCGTGTGCCTGTGCTTTGGGGGTTCTTCCTAGCAGTATTTTCCCATTTACCTCTTGCTCATGATCACTGCCTCTTTTTCTTTCTCGTTGTTGAAGGATCTCAGCTATTTCCTGCTCCCCTCTCTCAGATCAGGCTTACATGGGATTTAGTCCATCGAGAAAATGGTGGCAGAGGTGGGGACAGATGGCGGGGGTGGTGGTGTGGATCCCATCCTTCAGCTAGCCACTGCCTGGAAGACCCTCTCATTGAGTGCTCTGTCTTCTCTCTCTCCCACAGGTCCAGCTCTCCGCATGTGGCTCATGGTAAACCTGCAGTCACAGGTTCTCTGTTCAGACATCTTGTGGTTGCTGTCCGGCTTCTTTTCCTCCTCTGTACTGCTTCTTTAGGGGCTGCCTTCTTGGAGCAGGTAGCTGAAGGAAAGGACTCATGGCTGGTTTTCCCATGTGTTCTTCCCCTTCAGTATTAGTGAGACCTAGACATTCCAAGATGTCCTATAGGATAATCTCACAGGGCTATTGGGACAATGCTACACCCCTCAGCTGACTGCTGGCCGGGCTGAGCCCGCACCCTCCTGCCTCAGCCTGCTTCAGATTTTTCAGTGATTGTAGTTGGGCTTGCTGGTTTGGGGTATTTCCTCATGTCATTTAGTATGACCACTTAGTTGGATTTAATGGAGGAAAAAAATTAGAGAAAAATGACCATCACCAGTAGGCAATTACTACTTTCTATGGCTTGCTTGTAATGGGCAGGAGTGAAAGGACTGTGATGAGCTGAAGATGCTCACACCATTCCTGACAGTGTTACCAGACTCCATGTAGGACTCATTTGTATAATTTTCTGCAGTCACTCCTCATGGCTTCCTGGCTCCTTTAGATTCCTCCAGACCGCAGTTGGGCAACACGTTATGACGCTTCCCTTCTATGACCCCACTCCTGACCGCTTAGGGGCTTAGGACAGCCCCTGCCAGTTACCTCAGGGGTGGAGGGCAGCAGGGACTTATCATTCTCACACAGAAAGAAAGGTCCGCCTGTAGAGAGCAACACATTCACGGGCAAGGTGGAAACGTTCTTAATGACCACGGGCTTGTAGTCCGGTTCCAGGATAGTGTTAGGTTTCTGTGGAGAGAAGAAAAGAGGAAGCCAACGAAGATATGGTAAACGTGGAAAGAAACTTAGCACGTGCTCGCCTGCTGTGTGTGCATATACACACATTTCTATATATTTATTTACATTTATATAAGTTAGAAATGCACACACACACACACACACACACACACACACACACACACTTTTTCCTCCTTGTATTGTTTTAGATAAATTATGTGAACTGACATATGGCTGACTACTGTAAAAGTGATTCTACATAACCTGGAAGCCAGGTCAGATGACTTTCTTTGTTATCTAGTTAAAAAAAAAAGACCTGTATAAGCCATGTTCTGGATAAAACTACCATAGAAATTTCCAGTGTCCCAAAGAAGGTGTAATTAATTAGTGACATCTTCTGTAGGAATCTAGGTATCATGATAGGTCAACTCTTTTACCCTTACATAATATTTTCCTCAGACTTAAAATGCCCAACTTACAAATATACTTATCTTGTTATACTGACAAATTCTCTTGAGTTGTGCTTGTAAATTTCACCTGGCAGTATCAAGAAAGTTGAGTTAGAAGTATCCTTTCCCTGTGTTACATAGATCAACATTGGATTTTTCAACTGGAGAAAGCATCCGAGTTGGAGGTTTCTTGTCAGTCTGGATTTTTCTCATTCTGATGCTGGTGCCCTTATGGATTCCTGTGAGCCGTGGAAATCGAATCCTTTCACATCAGTACCAGTTAACCAGGACTCTCAGCTGTAAGCCTCCGAGACAAGCTCAGTTCCGGAAATTAGTCCCTGGTTCTTTAGACAACTGTGGCTGGCTCATCCCAGCCCTCTTGCTTTGGTCTTTTCTCCTTCTTCTGATTGCAGTGAAACCACTTCGGTTCTATGTGGGACTCTGACTTCCAGCTGTTTGTCTATCACAGTCTTCCTTTCACTGTGATTCCCAGGTCTTCTGACTGTGGATGAGTCAGTGTGATCTGACTACAGCAGCTCCCCGTGTTTTCCCACGGTTATGTCGGTGGTCTTGGCTAGCATTTACCACGAAACGCCAGCCTCCAACTATCACCCCCCACCACCGCCCCCCAGCAACACAGACACAGGGGTCATCATGCATTTACAGGCAGCATGCCACACTGCAGTGACAGACAGGTGAAGAAGCACTTTGGGGCTGCATGGGGAACTGTCCACACAGTGACCTTCCCGGAAGGATGCTGTGTCACTGTAGATGGCTTTGAAGTGAAGAAGCCACACTTGGTTGCTTTTGGCAAGAGACACCATTTAGTGTTTAGTGCTGAGGTGGAGTTGAAGCCTAGAGAGGCCATTCTATTTTAAAATGACCCCTTCCCTCTGGGCCGTCTCCCCAAATATCAACAGACGGAATCGGCTGCCGAAACTTCATGAAGCCAGCCGGCTGCTGCTTTCAACTGACCTTTTCAGTCCCACAGGGACGTGGCTTCATCTCTGCGGCTTCTGAATGGGATGACAGACATAAAGTAGATTAGATTGCAGGCAACGGGTAGAGAAACATTCTTTCCAGAGTCATGGTCCACGTCACTATGTTCTAATGCACCAAATGAGATGCACTGCCTTGAGCCAGAAACAAGGAGACAGAACAGATAATTGGGTGTTACACAATTAATTTTGAATACTGGGACCTAACAGGTCTCTTGCACATGTTGGGAAGTGAAATTGCATTCTTTCTCATTCCTGATACGAATTAAATGTGGGCAAGAAATGAACAACGGAAGACATATCTTCAAGCTCCTGTTTGTTGAGGAAAGAAAGAAGTGAAGGAAGCAAACAGGGAGCTTCATTCAATCAGAAGTTACTGCCACATTCAAAATATGTGCATATTTTAACCTAATGATAGACTCAAACAGAAGACATTTAAACATAAATACAATTTTTCCTCTAAAAGACAAAAAGCTAGAATGAAAAGAAAAGGAACCGAACAAGCACACTTTTATTAATGATTACTGGCTTAGAAAATGCAATAAGAGATGAAACCACATAGTTAATAATATGATATTTTGTACAAAACAGCCCCTCAACAAGTATTCACTGAATTTTATCTCATTAGGTGTGTTTAAACTGTGATGCCACTGAGTTCAGTGCAGCTGTTGCCAAGGAATCTCTTTTTTAATGACAAAAGAAATAATTTAAAACAGAGCAATGCAATTCAGTGGCTGTAGCAGGAACTCTTACAGTATTTTCTTTTTATATATTGTATTTTCTTTTTATATATTGGAGCTGGTTAGCTTCATGTTTGCTTTGCTGGTTTAGCTTCCTGCCACTGCAGTGCGCCACTTGAGGGTCTTCTTCTCAAGTCCGTGAAGCCAGGGTCTTTGCTGTTCTGTGCTTTGGAGCTGTCCAGTACACTGTGGGTGCTCACAGATTACTTGATTTGAACTGAACTGAATCTCACCTCCCCTCATCAATGGACAAGTCCCCTGATTTATCTCCCAGCAGCACCTCATTCATGGTGTTACTCAACGGACATCCGCTTGCTTGAATGAACAAAATACAGTGGAATCCATGGCCAGAATTGCCAGAGGCCAGCTCCAGCTGAGTTCGGAGCTCGGGAAGGGGGTGTGGAGTTGGCGAAGAGAGACATGAACACAGTCACTTGGTGCCTTCTTGTAACAGCTCAAGAAGCTTTTTTTTTTTTTTTAAACCCAGTCACATTACAAGCTCCTGGACAAACATTTAATTGTTCTGTTTTTACTTCATGTCTAAGGGGGCATGTACAGACATTTGGTCATTCTGTTTGTACTTCATGGCTAAACAGGTGCCCCTAAAGATAATTCTGCAAAATGCTATATTCATATTCTTCAAAGCAAGCCATTGTTCATTCTTCAGTAGTAGCCATGGAGCGACAGCCAGGACTCCAAGGCCAAGGCACATGTGATTACCTGCTAATCAGTAATACATTCCTACCACATTTCTATTTCTATAATTTATCCATCATTTAATGAGAAAGGGAAACAACACAAGGGAAACAATCACAAGGGAAACAACATAAAGATCCAAGACAAAAGTTTCAAATATTAAATCCCCCTACAACTGCAGGCTCTACAACCCCATAAGCAATCAAATAATAATTAAAAGCATATCTCTATAATATTAATAAAAACATCCTTAATTCCTCTATCAAAAAACTATAGAAGTAGCTAAAACAAATGCATTTCCTATGCTCCAAAAAAACTGCAAACACAGGCGAGCCTCTAAAGTCATCACAGTAACTGTATTTATTGCATAGCACTTTCAGCTCTTACTCCCATCACTTTCATTAATTTTAGGATATTTTTCAAGCCACTTCCCACAAGGCATGCTACATGTCTTAGTCAGATTCCAGGGCAATGGGTAGGCACACAATTAAGGTGTCCAGAAATGGCATGGACTTAATTGTACTCCTGTGTACAAATTACTAAAGGCCCACTCACCAAGACATAATCAGCAAACACTAACTTCCAAGCTCACATTGATTGCAAAAACCATCTCACAAGGGCAAAAAACAATGCCTCAATAAATTCCAGAATTCTTAGTGGGGTGGTTGAGTGTCCATGCAAAAGGGGGCTAGACTGTGTTGAGGTGGTTGGAGAGACATCTGCTAGGCCTTGCCAACTGGGAGCTGTTCTCTTCACACCTGTGTGCCATCCACACCTTTGTGCACAGACCCCAGCACAGAGTAAATGGTCTTGAGCATTGTCTTGCAGGCCTCTAGGTAATGAAAGGAATCCTGGTTGATCCCTAAGAGTAACTTGGCACTGCCACACCTAGTGTACCTTGCTATGCCAGCACAGATCATACCATGGGACAACAGCTTCCGGAATTAGCACATGGCCTATGACATTCATGAGGAAGGGATTATTCTCACTCTTGTGTCTTTAGCAATTGACATGGTGCCAAGTACATAATAAACCTGAATGAAGATTCCTCCCAGTAGCCTGTATAGCTTAAAATGAGAAAAAATGGCATGTCACTCGCTTCCCTGAAGCTCTCCAATGGCTACCAGGAATCAAACAAAAAATTCCTAACATGCTTCCCAGAAATGCCAAACAGACCTGGTCCCTGTCCGCATCTCCAGATGGACTTCTGGCCATTCTTGGCACAATCTGTGTCCAAGGGGGCCTTTCAGTTCTTTATTCTGACCATATTTTCTTCCTGCCTCTGGTCCTTTTACTTGAGTTGTTCCCTCTGCCAAAAATTCTTCCACCCTCCATTATCACCAGACTAACTTCTATTTTCACATCAATTTCCAACTTGAGGCACCTGCTCAGGGAATCTGTTCACAACTATGCGAAGAAAGGACACAGCCCCTGAGATGGGCTCTCACAGCCTTGTCATATCTTCTTTATAGCATTGCTTAGAACTGTAATTGAAAATACTGCATTTGGGCAATCTGTTAACAGTCTGTACCCATAACCTAACCTCTGCTTTGAATGCATTGGTCTGTTTCACTGGATTTTCGGCACCAAAAAAGTCTCTGACGCAGAACACACATTCCACACATGCCTGCTTTGAATGACAAATAGTTCTGGGATGGAAGGCTTTGCTTAGGAGAATGGCATGGTCTCCTGTGACATCTTCTGGGCTTTCCTACCCTCCTGGTCCCCTGAAATGAACAGCAGCCATTTTCATCTCTTTTTTTGTCTCCTGACTTTTTCCATTTATTTTCTGGCTTTATTGACCACATGAAGCAAGTGAATCACGTAATTTAGAAGCTGATTATATATTCTACAGCAGTGCTGAGAAATCTACATAGCTTAGCTTATACATCAGTTTCCCTGATGCATCATGGGAATGAAAACAGAACACACCGTACAGGGTGTTGTAGGGAAAATCTGTGTAACAAACATGGCTTCATGGCTAACACATATGAACCCATAAGTAATAGCTCTTCCGATTTACTGCGACAGTTATTATCAATTCTTTAATCCTTGATTGTGATGTTTATTTTACCTACTCAAATGGTCAACTAAAATGTATTTTGGTTTTCTACAAAAACGCTGATGGAAGTAATATTTCCATAGCAATTTAAATTTCAAAGAACTGCAGGTTTAGGTTCAGAATCTTTAGTTGAATATGTATTGGCTTTTGAAGCTTAAAAAGCACTAGCTGGGTATTGGGTAGAACAGGATTGGCCTTAATTTAGTTTTCCAAATTAAACTGTGAACATGCCAACCCACAGCTAGAACACCCATCCCTCCCCAGCACAGCCCCACTGACCTTCTCCAGGCGGTAAACGAGCTGCTTGGTGGAGAGCTGGATAACAGGTGCGACAAACTCACAGATGACAGTCACGGTCATCACCAGGCTCTTCCCTTTCTGGGTCCCGATGACAGCGTGGCACACCAGTTTTTCACGGACCATCTGCAGATGAGGTATACCAGCACTTTTGGAACAGCCATATTCAGAAAGCTTAATGACCCACCAAGAACAAACTGATTCTCAATGACTTGCCTGGGGATATTGAAGAACAGCACATTCTTCCTGAGCAGTGCTCCCCATCACATAGTGTGTTTGGGTTGGTGAACCATGGCTTTGATGGATTTTCTATTTATTTCTCATGGCCTCAAGGATGCAATAAATTTGCATTCCCTCCCCCTGCCAACATGTAATATACATATGTATATATTTACACATATAAACCTGATCTATTATGCGTCACAAGCTGTGGTAGGGGCTAAGCATGCAAAAGAGTAATAAACAAGGCAGATAAAATCCTTTATGGGTCTCATACGTCAATAACAGTTATATTATTTCTTATTAAACTTATTGAAAACTGTGGAAGGAAAAATTTGTCTTTCAAACATACGTATTTTAAAATTATGTGTTACAAACTAGTATTTCTTTGGACCCAGGAATGCCAGAGTTTTATAAAGAAGAAAGCAGTAAAGAGTGGTTTGGTTTGCGATGCTAAGGAATTCAGGTCTCAGCTACATTGCATGATTTGGAAGTAAATTCAGGGAGGGTTCTTTTTTTTTTTTTTTTGTAAAATTTAAGCTGAATTTAGTTTCTGAAATAGATACATAGTTTTGATCTGCTTAAAAGTTTAAGCAGAACACATGATGATGATGCAATTAACAAAAAATAATTGGCAGAAAATTAAAGCATGTTGCTGGCGACAGATGTGGCTCTTTCATTTATTCAGGAAAAATGACATCTTTTTAATTTGAGAGGCAGACAGACACACACAGAGGGAGGGAGAGCAGGATGGGGAGCCAGAGGGGAGAGTGGGAGAGAGAGAGAAGGAGACAGAGTGAGCGAGCTTTCTTATTCTCTGGTTTACTCCTCAGATGCCAGACCAAAGTTGTGGGCTAAGAACTCAATCCAGGCCTCCTGTGTAAACAGCAGAACGCCAACTGGAGCTGTCACCTGCTGCCTCCCAGGATGTGCACTGGCAGCAAGCTGGAATCCAGCACAGAACTGGAACTCAAGCCCAGGCACTGTGATACGAGATAGACACTTTAAAGGGATTCTGTTGTAGTCAGGCTGGGATGGAAGAAACCAGTGATGGCCTAAGACCTGTTTGGAAGAGGCAATCAACAGAATCTATGAAAATAACCCTTCTGAATAAATATTGTTAGTGTTTTTAAGTATTATCAGGGAAATTTGCTTTGGGTTAAAAAAAAAAACCCAAAACAAAACAAACAACAAAACAAAAACATTAATGTTTTTCTACCATAAACTCGCTAGCTCGTCACTGTTGGTCATAATAATGAAAATCTGCTTCAAACGGTCCCTTAAGGTTAGGCTCATGCTAGCTCCAGCAACAAACAGAAAATTGAGCAGGGCTGGACCTTGAAAGTCAGGGATGCTACCATGGTAACTCAGTGCTGTGAGCAATGCACGAAAAACCACATCCTTTCTCAGACAAATGTCAAGGGATCTTCCTAAGGAACAGACATGATATGGCAAAGAGTCAGTTAGGAAAAAAACAGCTTTTAAGCATGCCATCCTCTCACCCTTGGGACAGCAGAATAGCCTTCCAGGGTTACATCGATGGTCTGGCCTGGATGCAGCTCCATCCTGACGGGCTGGAGCTGAAACACAGGTCTGTATGTGGAGTTCCCAGGCTTCTGGCAGCCCTGGGGCCGCGGCTGGAGCTGGTCTTTGGCGTATCTCTTCTTAACCTGTTCCTTCTTTTTCAGCTTGTCTTGTGGACAGAAGTCATCATTCATCCAGAACAACTGTTGGACTCGACGTCCCTTATTGGTCAACTTGAAGTGGTAGTAATGAGGCTCTAGGCTAGGAAAGGAGAGGCAGAGGGCTCATTATATGACTCTGCGTACTCTTAGGATTTACTTGTCTAGATGTGATTTACGTTTATGTTTAAGCAATGCAGGAAAAGTTAAGTTATGATGCTATCAGAACGAGGTAGACATTAGTCAAGTGGCTGATTTACCTGAAGTCACGGGATCTGAGGTTGTTCAAATACATGCAGTTCAACTCTCTGATTTGCCTGTTACTTACTTTACTATTGGTTTATGGCATTTTCAGTGAAGTCCCTTGCTTTATAGATGGACCAGTAGAAAGGAGGTATGGATCAGACCATGGGGAAGGCTTCTATCTGGTTCCTGCCATCACATCTTCTGTAGGTATAGAGCATCTGCTAGACCAGAAGGCAGGAATGCCACCTTTCTTAGATCTGTGCCCAGCACTGGACAGACAAGCACAAATTTAACTGGGACCCAGAAGTCATTAGGGATGGCTGATGAGTGTTCCAAGGAACGTGGAAGGAATTTTCATCAATAGACTGACCTCAAAACTTCATGCCCTTTAATACACATATTTAGATTGCTTTACTCAAGGTGTTTCTGGTGTACTTCCTTGTATTTAAGCATCAAGACCTCATGGGTTTTCATAAAAGATCAGGTGAAGGGCCCGGCGCGGTGGCGCAAGTGGTTAAAGGTCCTCACCTTGCACGCCCGGGATCCCATATGGGCGCCGGTTCTAATCCTGGCAGCCCCGCTTCCCTTCCAGCTCCCTGCTTGTGGCCTGGGAAAGCAGTCGAGGACAGCCCAAAGCTTTGGGACCCTGCACCCGCGTGGGAGACTGGGAACAGGCTCCTGGCTTCGGATCGGCATAGTATCGGCCCGTTGCGCTCACTTGGGGAGTGAATCATCGGACGGAAGATCTTCCTCTCTGTCTCTCCTCTCTGTATATCCGCCTTTCCAATGAAAAAATAATAAAAATAAATCTTTAAAAAAAAAAAAAAAGATCAGGTGAAGTCAACTGCAACCATCTCAACTGATGGCATTATGGTGTAGAGGTGGGGTGGGATGATGGGGCAACGCAAGGAGACAACATCAAACGTAGTACCAGGTTTTGAAATACCTCATCAGATAAATTTGCAAAACTTACTTGCTTTTCCTATGTGAACTCTACTTAGGTTACCATTAAGATGTTTTTTTTTTATTTTTTAAGATTTATTTTTATTATTTTTTCATTGGAAAGGCGGATATACAGAGAGGAGAGACAGAGAGGAAGATCTTCTGTCCGAGGATTCACTCCCCAAGTGAGCGCAACGGCTGATGCTATGCCGATCCGAAGCCAGGAGCCTCTTCCGGGTCTCCCACACGGGTGCAGGTTCCCAAAGCTTTGGGCCGTCCTCGACTGCTTTCCCAGGCCACAGGCAGGGAGCTGGATGGGAAGCGGAGCTGCCGGGATTAGAACCGGCGCCCATATGGTATCCCGGGCGAGCAAGGCGAGGACCTTTAACCACTTGCGCCACCGCGCCGGGCCCCATTAAGATGTTTTTGTATCCACATTTTCTATACTTGTGCAGGGGGACTAGCAGTACATTGGAATTAAACAGGAAAATAACGGTTGAAAGTTTAACTTTGTTATAGGGAGATTCTCACTCTAAGTTTCCTATAATCATCTCTTATCTAGGGTAGAGGTGCAAAGACTGGGAGATACAACCAGTCTATGACTAGATGGCATCTTCTTATGGCTACTGCAGCCAACAGGTAGGAGGGGGAGTGAGCAGGAGAAGGAGCTGAGGAGACTAGCTCTGTTTACTTGAAAAATAATTTCCTAAAGGAGTGGTGCTGGCTCAGCTTATGCAATGTATGTCACAGCTATAAAAACTGGTTCATGACATTTCCCTACCTAAAATGTGCCCCCAGGTTGAGTTCCGGAGCAAAGGGCTTATCTGATACAATAGTGGAGCCAATGCCGGAGGCCTGGACTGGAATCCGATAGGTGTTGCTGTTTTCAATGTCCAAGATGACTGTGTCCTTGAATATCATTACATCATCCAGGTTGGCAGTCACCGCCAATTGAAAATCAGCTTCTGGGGGAACTATGCCTTCAGTGGGTTCAATGGTCCAAAGAGATTTTTTGCGTGCCTGCAACAGAAGACTGCAAGTTAGCAGGAAGATATTGGTTTTCATTCTGCACACATTGAAGCCCTCTATACTTCAAATGACTGGCACCATGGAATTCAACATCAGAGACAAACATTATGTTTTTGAATCAAAGCAGATGGATGTTTGTTGGCTTTTTTCGTTATTATTTCAAAAAGCATCTGATTCTGAAGAGCAAACCTACAATTCTGCTTTTGAATGCTCTGCAAAGATTCTTTACATCTCTTTCCCAGGATGACAGCCCAATTCCTTAACAAGCTTACACTAATTACCCGCTCTAATCTCCAAATTCTGAGATACCAACAAAAGATGCCATTTCCCCCCTGTGGAACTTGAAAATTTTAAAAGAAATGTTTTTCAAATGCCAAGTTCCTAATGTTTTAATGAGGACAGGAAGCCTCAATTAATAAACAATGCAGGATCATGTTGATTATTACTGTCTTAACTAAAATCCCCAGGTCATTTTGCACTACAGCCCTGAGTGACAGAACTGGGAGTGACTCTAACCTATTCCTTTGCTTGGACCTTCACACTTCACTCCCTTTCTCTGCAAGTTCTTTGACAAAATAATACCTTTCCATAATGCCCACTATGATCATTACACTTTCATTAGTTACTTTTTATTCACTTATTTTGAAGGCAGAGAAACAGAGAGGGACAGAGAAAAAGAGAGAAACAATTTCCACCTAGTGGTTCATTCCCCAAATGTACTCAATGCTCTGAATTTGGGGCTGAGGCAAGAGGCCAGGACCCAATACAGGTCTCCCACGGCAGGAGACCAATTACTGGAGTAATCACCACTGTCGCCCAGGGTCTGCGTTAGCAGGACACTTGGATCAGCAGCTGAAGACAGGCATTAAAGGCACATGCTCCAATAAGGAATGAGTGCCTTCTAACCACTACAACAAATGCCCACTCCAAGCTGCCACATTTTAAATTGCAACCATACCCCTACCCAGCTCTCCTGGTCACCTTTACTTTACTCCCCTGTCCTCATCTACCCAAGTATTTATCATCTTTCAGCATCATTTGCTTGTTGATCAAGCTTGTCTATTTGCACTGGGCTATCAGCTCTGTAATTTTTATCCTGTGTGATTATTCACATATCCCCAACATTTATAACCAGGCCTGTTATATAGTAGCTGTTTGATAAATATTTGATGAATGAATAAATGCCTCTATCCTTTAATCAAAACCCTTGATGGCAGTGATAACTCACTTCTTTTGTAAGGCAAAATGTCTCACGTTTTAACTGTTCAAATTACTAAAAAAGGAAAAAGAATCCACCTCCCTTATATTAAGTAGCGGTGAGCCTTTTTGAACTGTCCACACATGGGTATTCGGGCCACCCCCTGGGAGCGATGTAGGGTTAACTGAATGTATCCTTTATGCTCAGCAACCCTTGAAATTTTGCTTCCCTGATTCAGAAGAAAACCTAGATGGCACAGTGAGTGGCAAACCACAGAAAAGCACTCACGCTGTAGGCATTCTAGTTAAGCATAACTTTCAGTTCTTAGCGGAGTAATCTTGCATATTTTTCTAGGCTGCTTTTAAGACTTTGCTGTCTTGGGATGTTTCTGCTGCAGGTCCACCTTCAGGCCAGAATTAGTGCACAGAATTAGCTTTGCATACTGAATGGGATTTGATATCCTCCTTGAATCTGTAGTTTTGGCATTTTTCATTTCTAAAAAGGTATCAGCCATTGTGCGCTTCAACATCGCATTATCCTTCTCCTTCTCCTATTTCTGTAGGACTCCAATTAAACCGTGCGTGACATCCTATTGTACCTCCCCTACCTCTTAGCTGACTTTTCTTTTGTTCTCTGCTTCATTTACGAATGGTTTCTTCTGATTTATTTTTCAGCTCCCTAATTCATCCTTCACCTGGGTGCTAAGCACATCTACATTGTTTTTTTTTTTTTAATTTTCAATTCAGTTCTTGGTATTTTATATCCTTTTCATAAGGCTTTCAGTCTTTTGAGAGCTCTTCCAATTCTGATTATGGCATTCAACTTATTAGCTGTTCCCCCAAGGCCCCTCTTATTATCTGCAAATTTGAAAATTGTTTTGAGGACTTTTCAAGTATGGTAAATACAGCAGATGCTTAATGAATGACTGGAGGGCTAGCCATTGTGGAAAATACTAGCATGCACTCAACATACTTGCTTCCCCTAACCATTTGACAACAAGGGCATTCATAGAGATCCATGAGTAAACAAGAAATCTGAGTCAGAAAGATGCCTCAGGTGAAATCGCCTCGGGTGAAGCAGAGGCTGTTGCAGCCATTGGGAAACACACAGACGACCACACACCTTTCCTTTTGCCTTCAAATGCAAAATCTGGCTTAAATGTCAGGAGATGTAATTCTTAATTGTATCATGCTATTAATTAATAAAGAAAAGTCACAACTTACCCTAATCACATATATAGGTATCCCAAAATGAATAAGGCACATCCTTTCCCTATTCTGATTGCTCAATCACTTAAAATCAATTGTGACAGTTCCATTTTTATTTTGGGGAAGATATTACTCTGCGATATACAGGTGGGTTAGTCTTCATGGGAAATGTGTAGTGGTTACTAATTTAATGCATTGAGGAGAGGTTGAAAAAGGAGAGGCTGAGAGGTCATCTGGAAACTTCCATGATGGTGACCGATGGGAAAGCCAAACTCTGCCAGATCATTAGAGGAGAGCCTGATGAGTCCCACGCTTGCCATCCTAAACTCCCCAAGCTCCTGTGAAGGTGGTATCCCTGAGCAAGCCCTACAAAGCCAAGCACGTAGGGGGAAACAACCTACTTAAACACAACTGTAAAGTTTGCCCTTTGCGCTGATGTTAGAGGATGTTAGAGTCTAAAATTGGCCTTCTTCCCTTTAATTTCTGTGGTATTCATAGTGAAAAGGGATATGAAGCAAGGAAAAAAAAAACTACATGTAGCTCGATGGGGGTTTGGGAACAATGCTGGCGTGAAGCAGAAACTTCTGAAAAGCTTAGAATGGGCTGGGAATGGAGCTGCGCTGCTTGTCTTTGAATCTGAGCAGAATGTACCCTGCACATTCTAAGTCATTGCTACAGATGTCAGTGAGTGAACTCGCATCCCACGGTAGTGAGTGCTTAGGAATGTCGGGTCTTGCTCAGGGTCACAGATGAGATGAGGCCAGAGGGTCTCAACGGTCATTGTCTTAGGAACCGGCTAATATGCACTCATTTAAGGAGAATTTCTTATTTATTTAAAAAAATTTGAATGTTATTTCCATAAGGTGAAAAAAAGATCTGGATTTTTCACAATGCAGATTCAGCTGCACATAATGATACTTCCTGCCTTACTTTAATCCTGACTTCCCACTGCCCTCCTTTCTTTTTTTAATTTACAATAACGTGCTTTCAGTTCACTTCAGAATCACAAGCAAAACCCTTTGCTGGGTAACGAATTAAAAAAACAGCAAGTAGAAAAAAAACCACTGTTCCTCAAGAGTATAAACAAAGGTTGTAAACAATAATCAAATCCCAAAATGTTAAGTTTGCTCACACAGATGACAATTTTTAAAATACTTTGCATATTAGTTACAACAGATCAGGAAAAACACAAGATATTTATACTCTGGGGACTGGCTTATTTTGCGGAGAATCTAATACTTAAACCAAAATGTCAACTTCCCAATTTACATCTGAACACAAACCTTGTTAGACAAACCAGAAAGCTAGTTACATTTCTTTTCTGGTTCGAATGTCTATGTGAGAAACAAGCAAATTGCGTTTCAAAATTTAAGTCAAAAGAAGCAAAAAAAGAATGTTTTTCAAAACTGTGAACTGTATGTAATGAGGGGGTGCGTAAATGATGAGGAGGGCATCTTAACTGTGGAAATTACAGATTTGAACCTGCGTTAGAGTCCTGGGGGGCAGGTGTCTAACCTTGCTGCTGAGAGGTCCCGGCCCCACAACGCAGAGCACCTGGTTTGATACTCAGCTCTGGCTGCTGATTCCGGCTGCCAGCTAATCCGGGAGGTGGGGATAAGGGCTCAAGCAACCGGGTTTCTGCCAACCACATGGGGGGCAACCTGGCTCCTGCATTCTGTTTGGTTCCTTTCCTGGCTCTTGTGGCATACAGGAGCTTACTCTCTCTCTCTTAAATAAATAATAAATGTGAAAACGAGTCCTATTATGATTCTTGAATAGGAAAACTTCTAAAGATAAAAAGAGAAGAAAACAAATACCATATTTATAAACTGTCTAAACAATAACCGTCTCTACTTGAAGGACACTTGGAGAAAATGCTCAATCTTATATGATTTAATCTGCTTTTCAAGATTTTTCTCTGGAACTTTCCTAGTCATAGTAACTTAGTCGTAATGGAGTGAGAAACCATCAAGTATAGTTTCCATGTTCTAGGAACGTTAGTCTACTATTGTCTATAATTTTATATTAAAATACTAAGTAAAAAAGTGATATTTACACATTTAATGTTCAGAATTAGAGGTCAATTATTATTGGTAGGAATAATTACATGAATTGACTGTCTTAATATTCTGCTCTTTAGAACCAAAGAAACAATTTTTAAAAGATTTACTTATTTGAAAGGAAGAGTTACAGAGAGCAAGCTATCTAACATCTGTTGCTTAACTTCCCAAATGGCCACAACAGCCAGAGCTGGGCTAATCTGAAGCCAGCAGCCAGGCACTTCCGGCTTTCCCAACCTTCACTGTTCCTAGGCATATTAACAGGGAGCTGGTTCAGAAGTGGAGCAGCTGGTATTTGGGACTGACAACATATGGCAACCTGATGCTTCAGATGGTGGCTTTACCCACTACTCCACAGCTCCAGTCCGAAGAAATAATCTCTCCAATACATGTTTCTATTTTACCCCCAAAATTTACTTCAATAGTCTGAGTGAAAATGCTAAACTCCTAATACATTAACCACAGAAAATGACACAAAAATGAGTTCTAAAAGAGGTGCAAATACAATTCAATTTCTATAGCTAT